CCTCCCCCTCACCATCCTCCTCCTCCTCCTTCTCCTCCTCCTCCTCCACCGTCCCCTCTCCTCCTCCTCCGCCTCCTCCTCCTCCTCCATCGCCTCTTGCCCCTCCTGCTCCTGCTCGTGGACCGTCTCCTGCCCCTGATCATGGTCCTCCTCCTCTTCCTCCTTACCCTTCTCCTCCTCGTTCTCCTCCTCCTCCTCCTCCTGCCTGCCTCCGCCCTCCTCATATCCCTCCTCCTTTCTTCCCTACCCCGAAAACGGGGGATTGTGGAGCCCTAGGGGTTCCAGGGCGTGCGCGCGAGGCGTTCACACTGAATTCGCGTGTGCGTCTTTCAGTGGTGTGCGTACTCTGTGGCGTCCTCATCTCCTTCCGACTCCCTCTCCTCCTCCTCCTCCTCCTCCTCCTCCTCCTCCTCCGCCTCCTGTTTTGTGTTGTTGTCGCGCTCGCGCTCTCTCTCTCTCTCTCTCTCTCTCCACCCACACACAAACCAAAATAACACACTACCCTGCCATGTCCATCAAGTGGCAAGAGGAGTAGGCCAACATTGGCAGGAACAGCGACAGTGCAAACGCGGTGACTTGCTGCGCAGACTACACGGGATGCGCATGCGTTGCACGACTCACAGGACGACGATCGAATGAACGAGGCTTGAGGCCCCAGGCTCGAAGAATAACGGGGACAGGAACGAGGGGCAGGAGAAGGATGGCATGGGGGTAACCTGAATCCGCATATGACTTCACTCCGCTGCCCCCCCCAACCGCCCTCGAAAGCGGCGACAGTTTCGCAGATCGCAGCCCCCCCAGGGATGGCGAGGTCGAATCTGGCGTATGGCCTCACTCCGCTGTCCCCCCCCAGCAGCCATCGAAAATGGTGACAGTTTTGCAGATCGCAGCCCCCCAAGGATGACGAGCGAGGTCCAATCTAAATCTGCGTATGATTCCACTCCGCTGCCCCCCCCCGCAGCCCCCGAAAGTGGCGACAGTTTCGCAGACTGCAGCCACCCAAGGATGGCGAGGTCGAATCTGAGTTTGCGTATGACGCCCCCCCCCCCGCCTCCCCCCCCCGCAGCAACACTCGAAACTGGCGACGGTTTCGCAGCTAGCAACCACCCAAGGATGGCGAGGTCCAACCCGAGTTTGCGTATGGCGCCCCCCCCCCCCCGCAGCAGCACTCGAACATGGCGACAGTTTCGCAGATCGCAACCCTCCAACAATGGCGAGGTCTAGTCTGAATCTGCGTATGACCCCACTCCGCTCCCCCCCCCCACAGCAGCCCTCGAACGTGGTGGCAATTTCGCAGATTGCAGCACCCCCGGGATAGCGAGGTGTGATCTGAACCTGTGCATGACCCCACTCCGCTGCCCCCCCCCCCAGCAGCCCTCGACAGGGGTGACGGTTTCGTAGATCGCAGTCCTCCAAGGATGGCGAGGTCTATATCTGAATCTGCGTATGACTCCACTCCGCTGCCCCCCCCAGCAGATCTCGAAAGTGGCACCAGTTTCGCAGATCGCAGCCACCTGGGGATGGCGAGGTCTATATCTGAATCTGCGCATGACCCCACTCCGCTGCCCCCCCCAGCAGCCCTCGAAAGTGGCGACAGTTTTGCAGATCGCTGCCCCCCAAGGATGGCGAGGTCTACTATGAATCTGCGTATGGCCTCGCTCCGCTGCCCCCCCCCGCAGCCCTCGCAAGTGGCGACAATGTCGCAGATCGCAGCCCCGCAGGGATGGCGAGGTCGAATACGATTCTGCGTACGACCCCACTCCGTTGGGCCCCCCAGCAGCCCTCGAAAGTGGCGACAGCTTCGCAGATCGCAGCACCCCAAGGATGCCGAAGTCTAATCTGAATCAGCGTATGACCCAACTCTGCTGGGCCCCCTAGCAGCCCTCGAAAGTGGTGACGATTTCGTAGATCGCAGCCACCCAAGGATGGCGAGGTCCAGCCTGAATCTGCGTCTGACCCCACTCCGTCCGCTGGGACCCCCCAGCAGCCCTCGAAAGTGGCGACAATTTCGCAGATCGCAGCCCCGCAGGGATGGCGAAGTCTGATCTGAATCAGCGTATGACCCCACTCCGCTGGGCTCCCCATCAGCCCTCGCAAGTGGTGGCAGCTTCGCAGATCGCAACCCCGCAGGGATGGCGAGGTCGAGTCTGGATCTGCGTATGACCCCACTCCGTTGGGCGCCCCAGCAGCCCCCGACAGTGGCGACAGCTTCGCAGATCGCAGCCCCCCAGGGACGGCGAGGTCTAATCTGAATCTGCGTATGCCCCCATTCCTCTGGGCCCCCCAGCAGCCCTCGAAAGTGGTGACGATTTCGTAGATCGCAGCCACCCAAGGATGGCGAGGTCCAGCCTGAATCTGCGTCTGACCCCACTCCGCTGGGAACCCCCTATAAGCCATCGAAAGTGGCGACAATTTCGCAGATCGCAGCCCCCAGGGATGGCGAGGTCCAGCCTCAACCTGCGTATGACCCCACTCCGCTGGGCCCCCCCAGCAGCCCTCGAAACTGGCGACAGTTTCGCAGATCGCAGCCCCCCCCCAGGGATGGTGAGGTAGGAAACAAACTGGCACGCAGGAGCAAGCGAGGTAGGAAGCAAGGGGGGAGAAAAAAAGGAGGAAGGGGCGGGAGAGGAGAGGAGAGGAGAGGAGAGGAGCCGCGACCGCAGCTGCTCTATCCAAAACGAGAACCCAACGCAGGAGGGTTGGGAAAAACGGACCATTTTTTTGTTGGGGGGGGGGGGGTCGGCGGCGAAAGAAAAGGGAATGCGACGTAGCCTCATCTGCCCTCCCCCTAGAAAGGTTCCTGTTGAACGACCCCACAAGATTCATAGTGACATCCTTTGCATGAGGATTCCAGTCGAAACCCTCCACTGAATGATTCCTACTGAAAGCATCCACATATGTATTCCCAGTGAAATCGCCCGCAGAAGGATTGATATTCAGATGCTTCGAAAGAAAGAACTCCCCGTTGGCATTCATTGCCTTGGCATTGCGCCTCCTTCTCCTCGTCCTCCTTTTTTCGCCCTCCCACTCCCCCCTCCCCCCCCCAAAAAAGCAACACAAACGGACCAGCTGTTTAAACATGTGGTTTCGTCTTTTTTGTTGTTTTTGTTGGGGGGGGGTCGGCGGCGGAAAAAAAGGAATGCGACATGGCCTCACCTGCCCTCCCCCTAGAAGGGTTCCGATTGAACGCCCCCACAAGAAGGATGTATTGTGAAACCCTCTACAGAAGGGTTCCTATCGAACCCCTCGACTGAATGATTCCTACTGGGATCATCCACATGTGGATTCCTATTGAAACCGCCCGCAGAAGGATTGATATTGAGATGCATTGGCATTGGCGTTGGTTTGGCAACGGTTTGGCATCGCATTGGCATTGCCTTGGCATTGCGCTTGGCAGTGCGTTGCTAGTGCGCTTGCATTTCGCAAGCATTGCGCTGGCGAGTCCTAATGTAACCCTCCACAGAAGGACTCGGATCGAAAACTTCTACAAGGAGGACACCTACTGAAACCCTCCACAAAAACGGTTCATATTGACACCCTCCACAGAAGGATTCCATGCGACACCCTCCACCGGAAGGATTCCCATTGAAATCTACCACAACGAATTTCCCTCATTGGCAGTGCATTGGCATTGGGTTGGGATCACTTTGGTATTGGTGCGGCCTTGCGTTGGCATTGCGCTGGCGAGTTCCAACACCGTCCTTCGCATAATGTTTCCTGTTGAATCCCCCTCACGAAGGATACCGATTGAAGCATCCGGCGAGAAGGGTTCACATTAAACCCCCCCACGGAAGGATTCCACTCGAAGACCTCCATAGAAGGATTCTTCTTGAACCCGACCACAAGCGATTTCCCCCTATTGGCATTGCGTTGGCATTGAATTGGGATCGCTGTGGCATTGGTTTAGCATTGCGTTGGTATTGTGTTGGCATTGCGCTGGCGAGTTCTAATGGCTCCCCACACAGAAGGCTTCCTATGAAAACCTTGCACAAGAAGGGATACTTTGGAAAACCCCCACATGGAGGATTCAAAATGAAAGCCCCCCACAGAAAGATTCCAAGCGAAACCCTCCACGGGAGGATTTCTATCGAAATCCGCCGAAGAGAAGGGTTCGTAGCCAAATCATTCACATAAGGATTCCTGGTGAAATCTGTTGGGAGGCAAGAATCCCGCCATCGGCATTGCATTGGCATTGGTTTGGCATCGCATTGGCATTGCGTTGGCATTGCGATGGCAGTGCGTTAGCAGTGCGTTGGCATTGCGTTGACATTGCGCTGGCGAGTCCTACTCAAACACTTCACAGAAGGATTCCTACTGAGCACCCCCACAAAAAGGATGCCTATCGAATCCCCCCACAAGAAGGATTCAATTTGAAACCCGCAACAGAAGGGTTCCATGCCAAGCCCTCCATAGCAGGTTTCCGAATGAAATCCCCCGAAGAAGGGTTCCCAGACGGATTGCGATTGAAATCTACCACAAACAACTCCCCCCATTGGCATTGTATTGGCATTGCATTGGCATTGTATTGGCATTGTAGTGGCACTGCTTCGGCATTGCGCTGGCGAGTTCGAATGGCTCCCACCACAGAAGGATTCCTTACCTTCCACAAGAAGGGATCCTTTTGAAAGCCCCCCACCTACAAGATTCATGCTGAAATCCCCCACGGAAGGATTCCAATCGAAAACCTCGACAGGTAGGATTCCTTTTGGAATCTACCACAAAGGATACCCCCCATTGGGATTGCATTGGCATTGAAGTGGGATCGCCTTGGCATTGGTTTGGCATTGCGATGACAACGCTTTGGCATTGCGTTGGCATTGCGCTGGCGAGTCCTAGTGGCTCCCTCCGCAGATGGACTCCTACTGAAAATCCCTTTCGAAACCCTACACATAAGCATTGTGATTGAAGTCCTCCGAAGAAGGATTCGTAATGACATCATCCACAACGTATTCTTATTGAAATCTACCGAACGAAAGGATTCCCCCATTGGCATTGCATTGGCATTGGTGTTGGTTGGGAAAGGATTTGTATCGCATCGGCATGCATTGGCCTGGTGCAGGAGATAGACAAAGATAGAGAGAGAGAGAGAGAGAGAGACAGAGAGAGAGAGAGACACATACAAAGATAACACTAGACAACGATATAACGTCAAACGATTCGTATGAGGGGGTCACGGCGAAAATAAAATACAAAAAACAATCAACGTTCAAGGGTGAAAGAACGTTTGACTCGATAAACACCGTATGAAAACGACGAGGGGCTCCACAGTCCCCCAGCCTCGAGAACTCCTCCTCCTCCTCCTCTTCCTCCTCTTCCTCCTCCTCCGCCTCCTCCTCCTCCTCCCTGCCTCCTCCCTCCTCATATCCCTCCTCCTTCCTCCTTCCTCCTCCTCCTCCTCCTCCGCCTCCTCTTCTGACGTTGCCCCCCGAGGCAATCCTCCCAGGGCACCGCGACTGGCGCCGCTTGCTGGTAGGCCCAGCCAGACTCGCCGTCCACGCCCCTGGCCCTGCGCCGCTCCTCCGCCTCCGCCTGCCGGGCCGCGGCGCGGCGGGCCTTCTCCTCGAGGGGGCTTTGCGGACGTCAGGGGGGTGCTCATTCTCGTCGTCGTCGTCGTCGTCCTCCTCCTCCTCCTCCTCCTCCTCCTCCTCCTCCTCCTCCTCCTCCTCCTCCTCCTCCTCACCCCCCTCCTCGCTCCCTCCTTTTCCCCGTCCTCGTCCCAGTCCTTGTGCCCCTCCTCCCACTCCTTCTCCTCCTTTTCATCCGCCTCGTCCCCCTCCTTCTCATCCTCCTCCTCCCCCTCGCGCAGAGCAAGCTCCCACCAATGCGACACAGCTGCGCCACCCCCGCGGGAGAATCCCCGCCCGCGCGCATGCCCAGTCGCGCAGCGAGCTGCCACCCCGATCGCGGAGAGGGACCCCCGACCAGTCGTGGAGCGAGAGCCCCATTCCATCTCATGGAAACTCCACGGGGATCCCTTCTCATGTGATCCCCATTGGCACTCCTTCTCGTTGGGCTCCCGATTGGGAGTCCGTCTCACGGGATTCCCTCTCATGGGGCGCAACTGATCCATTCCCGCGCGAAACCCCTTGCGCGAGCAGTGCCCAGTCGCGCAGCGAGGCGTCACCCCAGTCACGAAGCGAGACCACGACCAGTCGCGGAGCGAGACCCCGGCCGACGTGACGCCACTCTGCCTCGCCCGCGCACGCGTGCCTGGTCGCACGATGAGGCGCCACCCCAGACTCCCCACCTTTTGCTGAGCGAGCCGCCCGCCGATGCGACGCAGCTGCGCCACCACCGCGCAAGACCCCCGCCCGCGCGAGTGGTGCCCCGTCGCGCAGCGCAGCGCGGCGCAACCCCAGTGGCAGAGCGAGGCCCCGCGGACGCGAAGCATAACGACTCCCCCCCCGTTGGCGCAGGCGAGGCAAGTGCTGGGGGGGGGAGGCTGAACTCATAGCGGCGCGACCGCGCACTTGAGCTTCCCACCCCCACAGATCCTGGTGATGGAGGTGGGATGCTCAAATCCCTCCTCTTCCTCTGCCTCCTGCTCCTGCTCCTCCTCCTCCTCACAGACACAGACACAGACACAGCATAAAGGGTCGGCGACCACAACACACATTGCACGCAAAAAGTGAACCTCCTCCTCCTCCTCCTCCTCCTCCTCCTCCTCCTCATCCTCCGCCTCCTCCTCCTCACCCTGTTCTCCTCCTCCTCCTCCTCCTTCACCTTTCCTCCTCCTCCTCCTCCTCCTCCTCCTCCTCCTCCAACTCCTCTTTCTCCTCCTCCTCCTCCTCCTCCTCCTCCTCCTCCTCCTCCTCCTCCTCCTCCCCCTCCTCCTCCCCTTGGCGTCGCTCACAAGGAGGGTAGCGCGAGGATGGTGGCGATTCGAGAAGACGGAGTGGCTGATCGAAGGCTTGGAGGAGGTAGCTGCAATAAATTCCACTGCCTTCTAAGACACCCCACTGCCTCTTAGAATGCCGCCCCCCCGTGCGACCCGCTTGCGCGAGATCCTCCAATGTTTCCCCTTACCCTCCTCTTCCTGTCGCGCAAGAAGCGGGCCCTGAACGCCCCTGGGCACTGGAGCCCGGAGGCTCCCCGACCAGCTTGGCTTGCTGAATTGTTCCCTGACTGCCCCAGGGCCCTGGGAGGGCCCCGTGCGCCAGAATACGGCGAAACACCTCTGGACCCGTTCCCCCCAGGACTCCTTCTCACAAGGGGGATATGGGCTCGGGGGTCAAGGAGTCGACCAACAGACCCCGTCCTGGGGTGCGCTACGTACCTTGAGGCATAAGCAACGGCCAATACGTACACCCAACACACATATATGTACACACATCTAGACACATACATGTATATACGTACACACATACACCCATACATCCACACGTACATACATACATGCCTACACACATGCATATATACGTGCATGCATACGTACATGCATACATACACATATAAGTACATACATATAACTGTTCATACATCCATACATACACAAATACATCCATCCATACATACATACGTGCATGCATACATACAAACATACATCCATCCATCCGTCCATCCATACATGCATACCCAAATGAATGCACACATACTTACATACACACATACATGCACACATGCATGCATGCATGCGTGCGTGCGTGCATGCGTGCGTGCGTGCGTGTATGAATACATACATACATACATGCATGCATGCATGCATGCATGCATCCATACATACGTACATGCATACGTACATCCATACATACATACACACATACATACATACTTACACGCGCACACACATGCATGCACGCACGCATGCATGCATGCGTGCAACCATACATACATAGATGCATGCATACATTCATACATACATTCATACATGCATCCATACATACATGCAACCATACATCCATTCATACAGACATACATAATTACACACATCCGTCCATCCATCCGTCCATCCATACATGCATACATACATACAAACATGCATACATGCACACATACGTACATACATACATTGATGCATGCATGCGTGCATACATACATGCATGCATGCATACACACATACACACATACGTACATACATACTCGTACATACATACATGCATGCATACATCCAAGCATACGTGCATGCATGCATACTTATAACCATGTAAACACACATATAGCGATCACAAAGCACGACCCTCAAGGTTCGATCCTTGGCTTTCGGGTCGTAGATCGGGTCTCCAACGGCCGCTCGGGACGCTGTGGGCACCCCCGTGAGGCTCTCGGCGAGGCACAGCTGCTGGAAAGCATCCCGAGGCTGGCAGGGCACCCCGAGGCTTAAAAACCCTCTGGGCCCGTTTGCTTCGTCGCACTCTCCCCCGCTCCTCCTGGCCGAAGTCTCGGGCGCCGCCGGTGTCCCCACCCGCCGGCCAACGGCTCCCAGCCGCGCCGCCGCTGTCCGGCTGCCCCTGCTCGCCCCAGCCAACGGCGGCCGTCCCCTTCCAGTCGCTGCTGGCCGCTGGGACGGCGGTTCAAAGATGGGGCCCTGAGGGAGGAGGAGGGGGAGGAGGAGGAGGAGGAGGAGGAGGAGGAGGAGGAGGAGGAGGAGGAGGAGGAGGAGGAGGAGGAGGGGGAGGGGGAGGGGCCCCTGCAGGGGCCCCTGCAGGGGCAGGGGAACAAAAGGGGTCCTGCGGCTGGGACTGCGCGGCGGGAGGCCCCTCGCCCTCGGGGCCCCGTCCCTGCGGGCCCCACCCTCGAGCCGCCGAGCTGCGACGGCCGCCCCCCTCCAGGGCTCCGCGCCGCCCTGCTGGCCCGCGCCCGCCGGCTCCCACTGGCTCCACTGGTCCCAGGCGGCGGCGCTGCCGGTGGACCACGAGCTCTGCTCGGGGGGGGGGGCGTCGGTCGGAAACTGGGCAAATCCGTGGCTACGAAAACGGTCTTCCCGGAAAACAATAGGAATCGCGGAAGAAAGCTCGGCCCACAAAATAATAAACGGGCTGCTTCCCGGAAGAAAAACAGCAATTTCCTGGAGCTTCCTTTTAGCAGCCACGGGTTTGCCAGCCTTCGCCTGGCTTCTGAGATGGCCTGCCACCTCGTCGATCCTGGGCATGCCTGGTTGGGGCGCGATCGGGCAACGTGTGAGCTGCTCCTGACTACGACTCTCGAGCAGCAGCAGCAGCAGCAGCAGCAGCAGCAGCAGCAGATTTGCCGCCTCTGCAGGTCAGCGGGGAGGAGGAGCGGGACAGAGGCAAGGGGGAAGAGGGGGGTGGGACTGCTCCCATCGCAGCGCCACGCCTCCGACCCTGCACATGGTCCGAAGGCGGCCGCTCTGGGATGAGTGTACCCTGAGATCCAGGCGGCGCGTGTATTTTCCACAACTGCTGCCATGTTTCTGGCCCTGAGACAATCTGCAGAGAGATGCGGCTCGAGTCATGCAGCAGAAGAAAGATTGGATCTATGGCTCTGGATGTGATTTTTGCGACGTGGCATTTTTTCGCAACGAAGGTCCCAGCCCCAAGCCCCTTGAGGAGACCCCAAGGGTCGAAAACTGCAGAGAACCTTCCATCGTGATTTGTTTCACGACGAGTGGCCGTCTGTGGCGGAACTCGCGATACAATGCGGCTACACCTCGGACCTCTCTCTAGGTCCGTCCTGACCAGAATTTCGAGAAGAATCCAGCCGTGGTAACGAGGCCTCTGCGGGAAGAGCAGCGGTGTCAGTATCTCTTTCTGAAAGGCGGGGCCGAAGGATCGCGACGCATCGCCGATACATCGGCGACCCAACGATGATGCGTCGGCGACGTCGGCGATGAATTGGCGTCGTCGGCGTGGACAACATCTGGCTCCATATCGAGCCGCATCGTCGATACATCGGCGATGCGGCACGATCCTCCGATGCCCATCTGCTCGGACCCCATCTGGGAGGCCTGGAGTCCTCCTCTGAGCCTGGAGTGCCGCCCCCCCCCAGTCTGCGCCGCCCAGCATCCGCTGCTGCTTCCCCAGCTGGCCTGCTGCTGCTGCTGCGCCGCCTGCCCCTTTGTGAGGGGCAACGATCGGGGGGGACTGGCACAGGGGGGGAAACATCGACCTGGAATCGGCGATACATCGCCGATCGATAGGCGATAGGCCCCCGACGAAACCGCACGTTCCTGGTCGGGGTGGGCCATCGGGCTCCTATCTTTAGGCCGGGCATGTCCCCCTACAGGCGGACTTTGGAAGAAAAGAGAAAAAATAGCCAAACATGCACCACAATAGTCGAACATAGCAGAAACACAGTCCCCAGACTTTCTTGTTTGAACCTGCGTCCTGTAGAGGCCACGTGCCCGACTTAACCCTAGCGATGATCAGTGGGCCACTGGGCGTCGAGCCCATCGCCCCCTCTGCTTGCCCCCTGACCTTGCCGCCCCCGCCGCGGCTTGCCGCCGCGCCGCCCCCGGAGGCCGGCGCCGAGGGCCAGGACGGCGCCGAGCTGCTGCAAAGGGCAGCAAAATCCACCCCGACAGGAACCACCCCGACACGCGAGGCCGTTTGGGCAACGCACCCCAAGGAAGGATCAAACAGGGCAGGGCTGTCCAATAGACGCCCAGGGCCGCTCCATAAACGACAGTTGCCCGGTCCGGGTGTTTTTTCCTCCCCTGGATGCTGGGGGGCGGCCGCGGCCTCCCCGCGAGGCTGCCGACCTCCGCCACCTTCTCCCAGTACTTGGCCGAGGGGTCGGCGGTTCAAGGGCCAGAGAGGCCTCCCATAGGCGGGGTCGGAGCGGGCGGGGTCGGAGAGGATCGCGCCGCGTCGCCGATGCATCGGCGATGCGTCGGCGATGCACCGGCGATGCATCGTCGACGCCGACGATGCACTCGGCAACGTCGACGTGAAGCACATCGGGCTCCACATCGGGCCGCAACGCCGATGCATCGGCGATTCAGCGCGATCCTCCGACCCCAGCTGCTCCGACCCCATCTGGGAGGCCTAGAAGGACGGGACCCCCTCGCGGGCGCGCGAGCGCATCCGTGTCCGCGGCCTCGCGGGCCTGGGCCGCGACCCCGCGGAGTAGGGGCGTCATATCCGCGGATGCCCCGCGCGGACCGCGCATATCCGTGCGGCCGCGAATCCGCGGAGTCGCGCCCCAGAAACCAGGCCGCTCGTGATCGGGGGCGGCGAAGAGGGGGGTGTCCAAGACGGGGGGGCGCAAATCATGGCCGGCAGAACGTGCGCGGCCCAGGGGGGCCAAGGACGATTTGAAACAAGAAATGGCGCCATGAAATGGCAAGAGATATCATGGCCCCCGCCATGATGCCATGACATCCCATACCCCCCCAAAAAATCACCCCCCCTCTCTGCCGCCCCCGACGTGACCCCAGGCCCCCTCGCGTTGGGGCCACAAGGCCGTCAAAAAGCGGCTCGGGGTGGAGAGTCAGCCCGCGGGGAAGTGGCCCAGACCTTTGAGGGCCCACGCTGCGGGAGAACGCGTGGCGTCGGGGGGTCCGAGGACGAGTGGCCTCAGGCAGCGGAGCTCTGGCTCAGAATCCCCTCCCTGTCCTCTGGGCCCTCCCTCACGAGTAGGGGAACGAATAATGACATAAACATAAAAAAACTCCGAGGTCCGCGCGGATTTCCCAGATCGGCGCCCGGGCCCCCTGGCGCCAACGAGGGGGGTCCAGCGCCGATCCGAGAAATCCGCGCGGACCTCCGAGTTTTTATGTTTGTATCATTGCTTGTTTCCCCCAATATCGTGGAAACGTAAGACTCGGGTACGGGGGACTCGGGTTAGCCTGACGGGGCCATCATGAAAAGGACGAAACCCAATCCGAAATTTGACGCGATCTCCCGCTGCAGACATCCCACGAAGACTGGACCGTCAAAATCCAGGACGCGCTCGTCGAAAAACGCCGGCGAGCCCGAGCCCCGGCTTGCTCCAGTCTCCCCGCCCTCTGGGCCCCCCCTCACGAGAGGTCGCCGGCACCTTTGAACCGCCGAGAGGAGCCCAGGTCCGCTTTCAGGCCCGCCTCCCTCGCCCTCTGCCGCTCCTCCGCCTCGCGCTGGCGCTCTGCCTCCCGGGCCTCCTTGGCGCTGTCGTCCCCATAGGCTCGCTGGGCCAGGCTGCGCTCGTACTCGTGCGAGGGCCGCGCTATGGGATGGAAGCAGACAAGCCAACATAAGCATGAACTTTGGCGCTCCGCGCGGATTTCTTGGATCTGCGCTGGACCCCCCTCCCAGGCGCGCGGAGCGCGCCAGGGGCGGCGCCGGAGGCGCTGCCAGGGGGGCCCAGCGCGGATCCAAGAAATCCGCGCGGAGCGCCAAAAGCTTATGCTCATGGCGGTTGCTCTTCTTCGATGGGAGCGGCCTTCTGCTTGTTCGACAGCGCCGGGGGCCCGCCCCGTCCTGGGCCACGTCCCCGCCCTCCGCCCCGCGCCGCTGGCGGCGCGGGCATGTCGCACGCCGCTGCCTCCCAAAAGGGGGGCCAGACGGGAGCCGGGCGCGGGCGGCAACACGTGGCCTCGCGGGCTGGGCCCGTGGGCCGCGGCCCCGTGGAGACGCGTGTATTCTCTGGAACAGCTGTGTTCCAGGAGCTCGGGCCTTGTTATTTTCGTCGTCGTCGTTCGTTCGTTCGTCATTCGTCCTCCCCCCTTTCCCCCCGGGGCAAAGAAGGAAACTCCTGGAGGAAGGAGGCGAAAGCTTCCTGTCCCTGGCAGCTCCTTGGTGCACGAGCCAGGCCACGTGTGCCACTTGTTGCTTTCGCTGTCTGTCTGCGGATGCCCCGCGCGAGAAGTACCCATGCGACCGCGCGTCCACGGGGTCGCCCCCCGGGCTCTGGACAGGGCGTGGACATGGACGTGTTCGCCGCTCGTGAGCCCGGGCCCGAGAAGCGAACATCCTGCGAGACACCGATCCACTGCCGCACCCGAGGAAAAACTGCAACGCTGGGCTCAAGCACTCGCCGCTCGCTGTGGTCTCCCTCTGGCTCTGTCAGGGTCCTGGTTTGCGGAGTCCTGTTTTGTGGGCCCTGCTAAACAGTGGAGGCCAGTCCACAAAAACCTTCCTCAAGAACCCCAAACCTGAGACCCCAGGACGTGCATCGATGTTTGGCGTGGGAGCGTCGCGCTCTCCATCGCAAAATTATCGAAACCCAACAATCCCAGGGCACCCTGGAGGCAAGCAGGGTGTTTCCTGGCATGGGCCTCCACTGTAAGGTCGGCGTCGAACTGCCTCGCCCACGATTCGCCGAAGCACTGGCGACGTCAGAACGGAGAGAATCGGACTCCGGATCGCGCCACAGTGCCGATGCATCGGCGAGGCGGCGTGGTCCTCCGACCCCATCTGCCCTGGCTCCGTTTGGGAGGCCTGGAGGCGACTGTCCCTCCACGCCGAACGCAACTTGAGCCAAAACTGGTACGGTACTTCGAGTTTCTTAATAAGCCTCGGGGTGGCGGTACCCCCGCCGACAGCCCCACATCGACCCCCGTCGCGGGCAGCCACCGCGCGCCGAAGGCGCTCCGACCCCCGTCGCGGCGCGACGACGAGGCGAGGTTGACCCCATTCGGGTGGGTACCCCCCCATGCTTATGAAGAAACCCAGAGTAGGAGTCAGAGGTTCAAAAACATCTGAACATGTACGCAGACGCGTGCACGCTTCTGGAACTCATCACACCTTGGTAGCAGTCGTTCGATGGCCCACAAATGTCGGTACTCGAGGAGCAGCCACGACTACCGCTCCACAATGGGCGTTGAACATGTCAATATGAATGCGAAGCTTGCTGCAACGAGGCACGAACATGTGCTCGAGGATTGCGGAACTCCAGCGACATGCCAGGGGTGGGCACCGCTCGTCTTGGACAAGAAACTAAAACTCTGCAGATCCCATCATAACGCCTTCACGGGGATGTGGCTCGACGTTTGCGAGCTAGTTGCATAAACAATAAGCATTTGACGCGTCGTGCGAAACAATAGTCAGAACCACCGGACGGATCGAGCCTAACATACTTCGATTCTTGGCATTGCAAAAAACAGCGACTGAACAGCTCGGTGACTAGAAAGATCACTATGGTGTGGCCAATGGGGGACCATGATTGGGGGCAACAGTGGGGTGCAACGAAGGTGGGCGACGATTGGGGGTAACGATGTGAAGCCACAATTTGGGGCAACGACGGGGGGCAACGACAAACCACTGATCTTGGGGAGCCCAGAAGTCCCTCACCGTGAGATCTATCAGAACACATGTTTACGGAACAAGCCAAATCACAAATTCGGGTTGAAGTTTGCACAACTGGTGCCCTCTGGGCGACGCCCACCCCGCGGTGGCATATCCGCGCAGCAACGCACTTGGACTACGACGAGACAAGGCTAAAACAAAAAACTGTGGATGAGGAATGGATGCAACGGCGCTCCGCGAGCATACCGCAAAACTGGCTATAGGTGCCCCAAGCCGTACGCTCTGCCTGCGCGCCCTGGCACTTCCCATCCTCGGCGTGGGTTATAACTGCCCGCGGATGTGCGCCCCCACAGACAGATCCGCGTGAGAAAAAAGGGAATGGATTAGGAGGAAGGAGGAGGAGAAGGGAGGAGGAGGGAGGTTGGAGGATGGAGGAGGAAGGAGCAGGGTGAGGAGGATGGACGAGGATGGAGGAAAAACAATAAGAATACCACTAATAAAAAACATAAGAATACGAACCATGGTATAATTAGATAATAATGCAAATCACAAGGAGGCGCGGCATTGCGCTGCATGTCATGCCTGCTGCTGCTGGATGTATAACCTACAACGAAGCACCTCTTATGGCCGAACGAACGAGTGGCCTCGATTTCAGGGCGAGACGAACCGTGTAGACCTGCAGTCGAACGAGTGCGAAGACCAGAGGAGGAGGAGGAGGAGGAGGAGGATGAGGAAGAGGAGGAGGAGGAGGAGGAGGAGGAGGAAGGAGGAGGAGGAGGGAAGAGAAGGAGGAGGAGGAGAGGAGGAGGAGGAGGAGGAGGAGGAGGAGGAGGAGGAGGGGGAGGAGGAGGAGGAGGAGGAGGAGGAGGAGGAGGAGGAGGAGGAGGAGGAGGAGAGGAGACGGAGGAGGATATAGGAGGAGGAGGAGGAGGAGGAGGAGGAGGAGGAGGAAAGGAGGAGGAGGAGGGACGAGGAGGAGGAGGAGCAGGAAAAGGAGGAAAAGAAAAAGAAGAAACAGGAGGAGGAGGAGGAGGAGGAGGAGGAGGAGGAGGGAAGGGGCAGGAGGAGGAGCAGGAGGAGGAGGAGGAGGAGCAGAAGGAGGAGGATGAGGAGAAGAGGGAGGAGAAGGAGGAGGAGGAGGAGGAGAAAGAGGAGGAAGAGGAAGAGGAGGAGCGCACCGTGTAGACCTGCAATCGAACGCGTGCGAAGGCCGATCGCCAGGAGCGAAACCCGTGCGAAAGCGGGAGGCGATATTCCCAAAGGGCCCCGCAGGGACCGTCGCCTCCAGGACTGTGGACCCCAGGCGGACTCCTGGGGCGCTCCTTTTCCCCCTCCTCCTCCTCCTCCTCCTCCCCCTTTTCCTCGTCCTCCTCCTCCTTCTCCCCCTCCTCCTCCTCCTCCTCCTCCTCCTCCTGAAACCCGTGCGAGCTCTCCCGAAGTGAGACCAGAGCCCAGCAGGCAAGCAACGACGGACGAGCGTGGAACGACGAGGAGAGAGAGAGAGAGAGAGAGAGAGAGAGAAACAAAAAAAAACGACGGCGAGGAGGAACACGAAGGAGGGAGGGGACGAAGATAAGGCAGGAGAAGAGCAGAGCAACCCGCAGCGGAAAGGGGGGTGTGGTCTACTGAAACATATCTTTCAACCCTTTCAAACAACCATCGATCAACCACTCGTAAACGAGGGGGTAGGAGAAGGCAGGCGCTGGGCGGAGCCTCGAAGTCGGGCGAGAGGGTGGAGGAAAATGGGGAGGCAAAACGTCACCCAAGGCCTCGTGGTCGACGCTGGCACGGGCAAGAGGTGGTGGATTGGACTCCACTCGGCGCCCCCTCGACGCCAGCCCCCGGCAGGAACAAAATGAGGAGAGAGGGAGAGAGGGAGAGAGGGGAGCGGGCGGGGGGTGAGGGCGAGATAGAAATGAGGAGGGGAGGGAGGGGGAGAGGGGTGGAGGGAGAATTTCCTCGGAGTCTCCTGGCACGCGCAAGTCGGTGGGGGGGATGGAAGGAGAGCAGGAGGGAGGAGGGGGAAGGAGAGGGGCAGGGGAGGTCAGGAGGGAGGAGGAGGAGGGAGGGAGGAGGTCAGGAGTCAGGAGATGGAGACGGAGGGAGGTCAGGCGGAGGAGGAGGGAGAGGGATGGCCTGGACCAGAGGACGGGGCGCCCCATCGGCGCCTCGTCGTCGACGCCGTTCCAGGACAGAACCAGGTTGTGGCCCGGCGCGGCGCCGGCGTCCTAATTGGGCAGAAAGGGGGCGGCGGCGAGGGCGACGAGGCGGCTCCTGCCTCGTTTATTTGTGTGGTTGTTGCTGTTGTCGTCGTCGTCGTCGTCGTCGTCGTCGTAGTCGTCGTAGTCGTCGTCGTTGCTGCAGCTGCTGTCGTTGTTGCTGTTGTTGTTGCCGTTGTTGTTGTGGTTGTTGTTGTTTCTGTCTGTATGTCGGTCTGTCTGTTTGTTTGAACTTTCCTCGCGCATCCCATCCTGCTTCTCCTCCTCGCACGTGGCCGCAGCGCGCCGCGTCTGTCCAACTACCTGGGGAGCTGAAAGCGGACGGCCGAGGCGATTGCCTTGGCATCCGATTCGCGAACGGCAACCTGCCGCGCAAATCGACGGGCATGAATGTTATGATACAGAATGGCGGCAGCAGCAAGAACAAGAAGAGACTCAGAAGACGGGGGAGCCAGGCCAAGACGGGCAACGGAACACCCAGGCAGAGAGGGGACGCGGATGACCGAGCAGAGAATGGCGAGGAAACGAGGGCAATACCAATAATGAATGAAAGAATCACGGCTGGGATCTGCAGCCGAGGGAAGACAGCCAAGAAGACAAGGGCCGTCGCTCTGAAAACGGTGGTCCGTTGTCCACCCGTGAACTAACAACTTGAGAACAGCATTACTCTGAGCGGGAGGCGTGCGGACCAAGGCCCGTCGGATCTCTTCCCATGGCCAAGCTCGAACTTCGTCCGCAGAAACGGGGGCCCAGGACGACGCCCGAGCGGCAAAAACGCCGACGAGAGGATCAGGACACATACTTTCGAGCATGGCTAATCGGAAGTGGCGTTGCGTCTTGCGTCTGGGCCGCCCGCGGCCACACGGGGGCGGAGGGGGGGGAGCAGGGAGGGGCGTGAACGCAGCAGCAGCAGTGGAGGTCAAGGGGCGAGCGAGGAGGGGGAGGAAGTGACGAGGCCTTGTCCGACGGGTCTGGGAAAACCAGCCCGTGCGCTCTCCAAGAATTCAGCAAATGAAGCTTGCTGCCAGAATGGAGGGGCCAGGGATCCGCGGACGAGGAGACAAACGGGCAAGTCGGCCTCGGCGGAGGCACGGAGGAGGGGGAGAACGGTCCGCCAGCTCTGAAACGTTTCAAGACTGGCTCTGATGAGAGCCGCTGAGGTGGAGGTGATCAGGCTATCAAACTTCGGGCCTCCCCACTGGTCTAAATTGAGCCAGCCAGACATCGGGCGAGCACAGTGAGCGGTGTGCCAAAGACGGGCGAGGAGGGCGGCCTCAGATCTACCGAAGCCGTCGGAGAGAGGCGTGTACTGCGCGACGTAACTCAAGGTCGGCACGCACCTGATGTTGTAGTTACTGGCGGTGACTCGCGTGGGACCGCTCATGGCCGCCACTTGTGCAGCCCGCGATCGGTACTTTGCCAGTGGTGCACTCCAGCTGGCAAGACGCGCCGCCGGCCCGATATGCATACCAAGATACACCAAAGAAGGGGCCACCTCGAACTGTCTCCAATCTGGAATCACCGAATACAGCCAGGTCTGATATCGCAAAACCACATCTTCATCAAATGGTTCTCCCAGCGGAACAATCTTGCACTTGGCGGCCTTGAGGGTCAAGGCGGAAATCCTTTCGGCGGCCTTGAAGATCCTGTGGAAGATGCGGAGCACGCGGAGCGTCTTGATGGCCGCGCCTACGTCGTCCGCGCAGGCGCGCACGATCCCCAGGAGCCGATGGTTGATGCTGCTGTCGAAGTCCTGCATGAACGGGTCCGCCCCCACAGCGAACAAGAAGCCCGAGGCGGGGCAGCCCTGGATGATGCCGCTCTGGACAAGGTACAGGAGGGTGGGCGAGACCGAACCGCACGCTGCGAAGCAGCGAGCACCAAACAGCAGCTGCGAGAAGAACCAGCATAGGGCCTCAGGGAGACCACATCGCGAGAGAACTGAGCAGAGCCAATCGTGTGCCACGCTCGGGAAGGCCTGCTGGAAGTCAAAGCTGAGCAGAGATGGCTGGGGGCGCTCTCCTGCATTGAATCCATCTCGACAATGTTATCGCCGAAGTTGCGGGTAGGGATGAACCCTCGCTGGATCTGGTTGGTGGCTTGGGGGAGGATCCTCGAGAGCTTCCTAGTCACGACGGCAGTCACAATTTTGTTATCACAATTATTGAGCCCAAGAGGGCGAAGGTTAGTGGGAGCTCTAATGTAGCCCTCCTCCTGATCATCACCATCATCATCATCAGCATCATCATCATCATCATCATCATCATCATCATCAGCATCAGCATCAGCATCAGCATTATCGTCGTCATCATCATCAGCATCATCATCAGCATCAGCATCATCATCATCATGACCATCGCCATCACCATCACCATCACCATAATCATCATCATGATCATCGTCATCGTCATCGTCATCGTCATCGTCATCATCATCATCATCATCATCATCATCATCATCATCATCATCATCCTTTCCATCCTCCTTTCCATCCTCCTCCTCCAGCTTCTCCTCCTTCCCTCCTCCTGCTGCTCTGTCTCCCATCCTCCTCCTCCTCCTCCTTCTCCTCCTCCTCCTCCTCCTAGTCCTCCTCCGCCGCCCCACCCCGCCCTCCTCCTCCTCGTCCTCCTCTTCCTCCTGCTCCTGCTCCTCCTCCTCCTCCTCCTCCTCCTCCTCATGCTCTTCCTCCTCCTCTTCTTCCTCCTCCTGCTCCTGCTCCTCCTCCTCCTCCTCCTGCTCCTCCTCGCAGGGGTGGCATTCCCTAAGACAGGAGAACTGTAGAGGCTCCAATTCAGATCTCTGGCTTCGTGTCCGTGCTGCTCTCCCTACCCGTCGCATGTGGATGCTGAGGGCCCCTCCTTCTCCCCTCAAGGGCGTTTGTACGCTATTGGGATTGGTGTTGCCGACGTTCTTGCGGGGGAGGCGGCCCGAATTTCCTGGACCCACGGCCTTCTGGGCCAGAGGCCCCCCGACATGGACGTTTGGGATTGCACGGCTGCGCTGGTCAGGCGCAGAGCCGCCAGAGCTATGGTGGATTCCATCAGTGTTGCGCCCTGGTCCGCTAAACGGCCTCCTGACGCCCGTCGCGTCCCCGAGGGCCTCCCTCGGGGCCCTTCGCAGGATCGAGCACTGTTCGGTTCGGGCCGAACGCAAATGGCTGTGCTCCCTGTGGCTCCTGTGTCACAAGTGGTGGAATTCAGCTCGACGCCGTGTTGTGCGGCAGCCGAGGACCTTTCGAGTCTGTCTGCCTATGGGGTGGTGCGGACTAGTGGGGTGGTGACGGCTGGTGGGAAGGAATGCCACGCGTCTCATAATTTGCACTTCTGTCCCAAACGTGGGCTGCATTTTTGTTTGGCGTGCGGTACAACGGTGACGGAAGACCCGCGCCAATGTAGTTTCTGAGTACAGTGCCCGCACCCAGAAGGGCCATGAGAACATATCAAGAATTCAGAATTCAGGAACCGTCCAATGCGTCTCGGGCCAGGGAGCTGGGCATTGTCAGGCGGGAGGCCGTCCTCCGTGGGCCGCCGCCTGGGGTCCTCGTTGGCTTATTCGCTACCACTACGTGGATACCAGCGAATTCCGGCGAATTCCTGCTCCTCCTCCTCCTCCTGCTCCTCTAACTCGCCTCTCCGTTCTCCCCCGCCCTCCTCCTCATCCCGGTGCTCTCTCGTTCCCCTCCCTTCCCCCCCCGTGTCCCCTCCCCGCCTCGCCTCCTCGGACGGAGCACCGAGGCGCGACGGGGCCTCAACTCCCAGCCGCCGCCCGTGCAGCACCGCGCGGGCGGGGCCCACGGACCAGCTGGCGCGAGGAGCAACAAGGCGGCGCTCCGGGAACATGGGCGGACGAGAAGTTCGCAGACTGCCTCGCGTCCTGGGCAACGTTCGACGGCGGGCTATTCGCCAGGTTCGGCCTTCCGTGGGCCCGCACCGGGCCTCGGGGCCATCAGCAGTGACCCAGGACGAAAAGCCAGTCCCTGGCAAGGGGCCCAGACCTCTGGGGGTCCAAGTCACGAAAAACACGCCTCTGGGGGTCTGGGATCGATGTTTGCTCTGGGGGTTTTCCTGGAGCCGCTCGCTCCACTCGTGCGTCGATGCTGCGTCGAACGTCCGCCGACTCGAGCCGAGCTTGAGTCGAGTTTTGAGCCGAGCTAGAACCGAGCTAGATGCCAGAACCGAATTAGAGTCGAACTAGAGTGGAACAGATCCACTGAGAGGGTCCATGGGAAGGTCCCCGGACCGAACATGTAGGAGAGGGGTGATGTCAAAGCAAAGCTAGCAACTCAACTCGCGTAGCTGATTTCCCCGGCGCCTCCAGGAGCTGCGCTTGAGGCGCAAATGTATCGAGGAATGCGCCTAAAGGTCCGAAACCAGCTGCATGCATCAGCAGATTTCGCCCCCCCCCGTTCCCTATACCCCCTTCTCGTCCGACCCTAAAGGACCAGCACCCAGAAGGTGCCAGTAAGAATGTGTCCCTACTATTGCACCAAGGCGAAGCAGGCGTAGTCAGGAGACAGACGTCGACCATATCGTCCTGCTTCACCTCTTCCTCCTCCTGATCCTCCTCCCCTTCATTCCGATCCTCCTCCTGGTAAGAAGAGTTGGGACTTTCGTTTTTGGCGCTGTGCAATATTATCCATCCGCCACCCGCAATTGCACATAACCCACATGGTCAAAAGAACGACCGACAACCATCACATTCCGCACAGGATAGTAGCGAAAGTGGGTGCACGTATGATGGCAACACCATCTGGAATTATATCCACGAGGAGCGCAACAACTACGGGGTAAGCAAGTAATCCGCCTTCATGGCCTCCTGGATACACCTCCTTCTCCTTCTGCTGGGCTTCTGCTGTCGCAGATGGCGCTTGTGAGACATGATGGATCGCGTCATCCCCTCTACGCTCGAAGAAGCTCACGGGAAGCCTGGGGGTCGATCTACCCGTGGCAGCGATTATCGAGGGCGGCCGTACAGAGGAACGCTGCACACGGTGAAAGAGGGCAAAAGCGGGAAGCGGGAAGCAGAACGAACGAGCGGGAAAAAAAGAGGACAAAAGCGGGAAGCAGAACGGCAAAAGCGGGAAGCACAACAACTGTTCCTTATCCTCCTCCTCCTCCTCCTCCTTCTCCTCCTCGTCCTCCTCCTTCTCCTCGGTCTCCACCTTCCTCATCCCCATCTGGCTGATCTCCCTTCTCCACCTCTTCCCTCCCTCCTCCACGTCCTGCTCCTCCTCCTCCTCCTCCTCCTCCTCCTCTTCTCCAACCCTCTCCCGCTCCTGCTCCTCTTCCGCATCCCGAACTCCTCCTCGCCCTTCCCTTACTCCTCCCACCTCCTCAATATCCTCCTCGTCCTACCTCATATTGCTTCTCAGTATCATCCGCCTCTTCATCTCCCATCCCACTGTTCTTCTGTCTCCTCACCATCGTCCTTGTTCTACCTCTTCCTCCTTCCTCCGTCCTCCTCGTTTACTACCCCTCCTGCTCCAGCCCCCTCCTCCGTGAGCGCCCTCTCCAGGAGGGCGACCAACAGCCTTCCGCCACGCAGTTCCGATGCGGCCCGGCGCCCAGTAGCACCGAAGCAGCAAAGCGACGCCATAACTCCACCGACCTTATTCGATCTTCTTTCACTCCCCCTGGGGGGACCAACATGTGCCGACACCGCTCCCCCCCAGACCTCTCCCGGGGTGCGTTCTGACCAGACTGCCGAGGCGAATCCAGCGGTAACGACGAGGGCCTCCCAGGAGGCCCAAAACGGGGAACACGGCCGAAGCAGCAGCAGCAGCAGCAGCAGCAGCAGCAGCAGCAGCAGCAGCAGCAGCAGCAGCAGCAGCAGCAGCAGGGGGAGCGGGGGGAGCGGGGGGAGGCCGTCCCGTCCCGACCACGGCCCCCAGGCTCAAGTCGGGCCTGTCTCTCTACAGGAGAAGTATCCCAAAATAGTCAAAACATACTCTGGGGACGATTTTCCGCGTCACCAGCATCGGGGCCTCAGTCGGTGCAGCAAGCAGCAGTCCTCACACCAATACAAGAAAAACAAACGGCATAAGCATAAACTTTCGTCGCTCCGCGCGGATTTCTTGAATCTTTCCCCTGGCGCGCTCCGCGCGCCAGGAGCGGCGCCGAAGGCCCCGCTGGGGGGGGCCCAGCGCGGATCCAAGAAATCCGCGCGGAGCGCCAACATATTCAATTTATGGCATTTTTCCTTGTTCGCAAAACGTGCGTCCGAGACTGCTGCATGCGCCGGAGCAGCTCTCGGGTGCGACTCGGCCTGGTCCCAGACGGGATGCAACCCACGGTTGCGCGACACCACTCGCGAGCCCGAGGCCGCCTGCGCCGGTCTGGGTGGCGTTCACCGTCTGGGCGGGCCTCCCTCTTTCCGGGGGCGCGCAAGCATGGATTAGCGATTCATGGAATTGCCGCACGGTCGCCAAATCCATGGATCGGGGGAGGTGCACTCCCCAACATGCGACCGGTACCGCCTCGCTCGGCGGCGGAAATCCACTCCCCATGGAAACGGGACCCGCCGCTACCCTTGATCCATGTTTGCGATCGCCTTACTTTTTCCTCCCCGTCTGAGGCGACTCACGGGAACCTCCCATGCCATCTTGCTGGCTCTTGCGGATGACGCTGGCGTCACGAATCGACGCGGAGTTGGCGCGCCTTCTCATCGATGACCAGGGGCTGCCGCACTCCTGTGCACTCTGAATGCGGCATTCCGAGGGCATGCAGTAGGAGCTCGACTACAAGGCACCTTCAACAAGAAACCCAACCCTGATCCGCAAGGATACCCACTGATATTGGGCATGGAAACGTGACGTTCTCCAGAGTAAACCCATCGAAACCCAAGAACCCCAGGGCACCCTGGAGGCATGCAAGGTGTTTCTTGGCATGGTTGTCCACTGTACTAGTACCAGGCCCCCATGAGTTCACGCCTTGCTACCGAGCTCCCCCCTCCGCGGACGCTCGTCCTTTCTCCTCGTCGTCCATACGCACAACTGCGGCTCACCACGGTGCGGCCCGCCGCTGCGTCGACCGCGACGAATCTGTCCCAGACACGCCACGTCTTGACTTTCTCAGTCCGCACCCCCCAGAGATCCCCCGGGGCTGGTTTGGCATCCTCGAGGGCCCCCAGAGGCCGAAAACTGACAGAACACGCCCGTCCTGATTTTGCCCTGCCAGGGCCCGGGCATGTCTGTGCCTGCAGCTGCAGGCCGACTGCGCACTAGCAAACTTACGCAGTTGGCGCCCCGCGCGCCCAAGCGCTCCCGATGCGAGAGGGATCGGCGCTCCCGTCCTTGGGGCCGCCCAGCGGTGCGTCCACCAAGTGCCTGGGCCAGCGCGCGGAAACAAGACGCGCACCCGTCGGGGCGGGTGACATGGCGGGGATAGCCACTACCCTATCCCTCCTACCCCCTCAGACCATTCTTTCTCCGTGCAACTCCTCTCCATTCAACCTCATCCTCTCCTCATGGGTCTATCCTCAACCTCATCCCCTCGTCCAGGTTCCACCTCCTCATGCACATCCTCCTCTCGGGACGCGCAAACATGGATTAGCGATCCCTCGGCTGGCGATGAACCATCCGTAGTGACGCCTGCGGCGCCGCCTCCGGGGGGGCCCCCAGCGCCGACCCCCAAAAATCCGTGTGGACCCACTGCCGAACCGTATGTGTGTTACAGGAGCGGCCAGCACCGAGTCGGGACATCCGACAGGCTCGGATGGGGGGGACCGTGCGCCGGATCGGACCACCTGCCCCTCTTCCTCCTCCTGCCCCTCCTTCTGCCGCGCGGGCCTCCGACAAGTTATGCTTACAGGAGCGATCGGCACCACATCGGGGAATCGCATCGGATCGGATCGGGGAGCGTGCGTCGGATCGCCCCCCCCGATCCTCCTCCTCCTCCTCCTCCTCCTCCTCTCCTCCCTCCTCCTCCTCCTCCTCCTCCCTCCTCCTCCTCCTCCTCCTCCTCCTCCTCTCTCCTCCTCCTCCTCCTCCTCCTTCTCCTCCTCCTCCTCCTCCTCCCGCTCGCCGATTTTCCTCTCCTGGGGAAACCACGATATACCGATACCACTACTCCCTGGACCTCTCCCAGGGCGCGTTCTGACTGGAATTTTTAAGCAAACCCAGCGGTGGTGACGAGGGCCTCCCAGGAGGTCCACACAAGGCGAAAACCAGGAGGCAAAGGTAGCAGTATCGGTACCATTTCCTCCTCTGACCCTCTCCTCCTCCTCCTCCTTCTCCTCCTCCTTGTTTTCCTGCAAGTCCTTGTTCTCCTCCTCCTCCTCCTCCTCCTCCTCCTCGTCCTTCTCCCCCATTCCTCCTCCTCCTCCTTCTGCTTGCAGAGCTTCTGTGCTCTCCAGGGCGCCACTCGCCCCAGCCCCAGGTCGTCCGCAGGATCCCGCCAGCGCGCAGCTCCACGCGGCCCTGCTCGCTCACGCCCCCGTTGGCCGAGTAGCCTCCCCAGGGCGAGAGGGGGAGGGGGGAGGAACAGGACGAGGAATGGTATCCAGCGGCCCTCGATCCTGCAGCCCGTGTGGACCATTCGGAGACCTTGGCAACCCTGGGAACCTTGGAACGTATCACTGGCATGACCTCCTGCTCATTTGAAGGAAGGGACGGAGGGGAGCGGAGCGGAGCGGAGCGCGCTAGGAGCGTGGAGGAGCGAGGATCGGCGCCGGGCCCCCCCCTTGCGCGCCCCGGAGCGCGCCAGAGACGGCGACGAGGAGAGCCCGGCGCCGATTCAAGAAATCCGGGCGGAGCTCCGACAGTGTATGTTTATGTTTGCTATCCCCCAGCCGGCAGGCTACGTTGGTTCCTGAACCCGCGGGGCTCGTTCAACCTTGAACGATCGGCCGCTTCCACAACTTCCGATCGTTCAACATCGACCGATTCTGGGCCGCCGCCGGCGTTCAACGTTGAACGCAGGCGGCGGGATCGCCGCTGGTCGACACGACACGGACCTACCGTAGGGTGGACGGTTTCCCCCGTGGAGGGGAGGGCCAACAGGGGTAGTAGTAGTAGTAGTAGTAGTAGTAGTAGTAGTAGTAGTAGTAGTAGTAGTAGTAGTAGTAGTAGTAGTAGTAGTAGTAGTAGTAGTAGTATAGTAGTAAGTAGTAGTATAGTAGTAGTAGTAGTAGTAGTAGTAGTAGTAGTAGTAGTAGTAGTAGTAGTAGTAGTAGTAGTAGTAGTAGTAGTAGTAGTAGTAGTAGTAGTAGTAGTAGTAGTAGTAGTAGTAGTAGTAGTAGTAGTAGTAGTAGTAGTAGTAGTAGTAGTAGTAGTAGTAGTAGTAGTAGTAGTAGTAGTAGTAGTAGTAGTAGTAGTAGTAGTAGTAGTAGTAGTAGTAGTAGTAGTAGTAGTAGTAGTAGTAGTAGTAGTAGTAGTAGTAGTAGTAGTAGTAGTAGTTAGTAGTAGTAGTAGTAGTAGTTAGTAGTAGTAGTAGTAGTAGTAGTAGTAGTAGTAGTGTAGTAGTAGTAGTAGTAGTAGTAGTAGTAGTAGAGGAGGAGGAGGGAGAGGAGGAGGAGGAGCAGGAGCAGGAGGAGGAGGAGGAGGAGGAGGAGGAGGGAGAGGAGGAGATGGAGGAGGAGGAGGAGGAAAAGGAGGAGAAGCAGGAGGGTAAGGAAGAGAAGGAGGCGCAGGAGGAGGACGGGCCACCTAAGCCCTTCGGAGAAACCACCCACCGTAGGGCTGCTCGATTTAAAGGGCGAGCTCCGACCCGCCTCGCACACCCTGCATGCCGCGGCCGCCAGGCCCCAAATGTGCCAGCGTTCCCTAGGCATCCCGCCTCGGGCCTTTGGCGAGTGACGACTGCATGCCGCTGACGCCAGGCCCAAACTGTGCCGGTGTTCCCTGGAGATCCCGCCTCGCGTTCTCGGGTGGGGGCCGATCGGCACAAACAAATGTTGTTAGCTGGCTTATTGCTCCGCATGTATTTCATGAATCAGGCAACCCGTGATGGGACATCTGGGTGAGAACAAGTAAGAGTCAACGAGGGACGCATTGAACCAGACTAAGCGGGGCTACGCAAGATCTGGACGTCCGAAAAGGGTACAAAAAAAAACCAAGCGAATGACCGAACCATCTGATTGTGAGCACCGCGTTGTGGGTACCGCTTTCGGTGGAGCTCCCTATGTGGGCCACGAAGCGCTTGAGGGTGACCTGCAATGGGTGGGGCGACGCATGCGGCCGCGGACACTGGGGTAATTATTCGGTGCAGCTCCCTCTGGGGCTACGAAGCGCTGTGCTGGGCGCGAGGCGCGCGTGCGGCCGCGGCTACTGGGGTCTTCGGTGGAACTCCCCGTGGGGGCCACGAACTGCTGCACCAGGCCGGGGACACGCATGCGGCCGCGGCCACTGAACCTTCGGTAGAACTCCCTGAGGGGCCGCGAGACGTGCGAGGGGTGCGCCGGCATGGCGTGGATGCATGCGAACGGCACCATTGGGGCCTTAGGTGGAGGGCCCGCGGGACGTCTGAGGGGTGTGCCGACATTGGTGGCGGGGACGCATCCGGACGGCACCACTTAGGCCTGAGGTGGAGCTCCCCATGGGGCCGCGAAGCGTGTGAGGGTTGTGGCGAAACGGGGTGCTGGGACGCACGCGAACGGCATCATTGGGGTCTCGGGTGGAGGTCCTGTTGGGGGCCACGAAACGAATGCCGAAATGGGTGGCGTGAATTTGCGCGATCTTGGGTGAGCTCCCCGTGTGGCCACGTGACGGGTTTACCAACATTCGTGGCGGACGCATGGGAACCGAAATGAAACTCCATATGGGGGCCACGACACGTGTGACGGATGTTCCGAAATGGGTGGCGGGAGCGCATGAGAACGCCGCCATTGGGGCCTTCGGTGGCCTTAGGTGGAGCTTCTTATGGGGGCCACGAAACGTGTTAGGGTGTGCCGAAATGAGTGGTGGGGGCTCATGCGAAAGGCACCACTGGGGCCTAAGTGAAGCTCCGTATGGGGCCACGAAACGTGTGAGGGTTTGCCGAATGGTGGACTGATGCGGAGAGCAGAAATAAGGAGGGGGGGGGAGAGGGAGGGCGCCCGGGGGACCTAGAGGATCCAAGACCTCGAAGACGAGGGCTCGACGCCCATCCTGGAGGCCTTTTCCCTTCGTGCTGGAGGCGGCCCCCCCCCCTCCAGCACGGAGGTTCGGCCTTCGATCCTCCGGGGAGTCGAAGAACGAGTCGGCGAAGTGTAATGCTCGAGCTTGAAGGACTCGAGCTGGATTGACTGCGCCGTGAGGAAGCTGAGGGGACACAGTCCGCTATTCGATGCGAGCATCCCCCTGCAAACATCCCACGGAAACTGGCCCGTCGAAATCTGGGACGGGCTCGCAACAAAAGCGTCGGCGAACCCGAGGTCTGGCGAACGCGAGTCTTGCGCGTCCCCGAAAAGAGCAGGGGAGGCGATGCGAAGCGAAGCGCGCGGTGTCGGTCCGGTGGGACTGGCCCTGGGAGGGCGGCGCGGGGGGGCGGGAGCCTGACTGGTGGTCGATGTTGACGTGGTGTGGGAGGAAGTCTGATGCTGGAGGCTGGATTTTTGTGCTTCTGGAGTCCCGAAATGGTGCGGTGACAGACCGTGCGGTGACCTCGAAATCCCCCAAGACAACACCGCCCGGGCCGTCAACGCACGGTTTGGGGACCTCGGATGCCCCTGTCGCCCGAGACATCCTCGGAGAGGGACTCGAGTCCCAAACCGCGCGGTGACCCCGAATCTCCACCGACTTACCGCACGGTGTGGTCACCAGCCCGTTTGGGGACTCCCAACTGTGTTGATCTGGTGTACAGTCAACCGGTATACTCAGGACGCACGATACGGATGCAAGGGCCTTGGAAAGCCATGCCGACACTCTGCGAGAGGGGCAACCTTGGAAAATTGCTCATCATTGCTTTGCCGGTTGACTGCAGTCTGGAACCCCGCCGCGGACTCGCCGGCGGGGCTGGCCGCGCCGCTCGCTCGGGGAGCGATCCGTCCCCCCCTGAGCCGCTCGCTACGTCCGCCTGTTTTTCGGCCGCGCCTCGCCCCTGTCCTCTTGTTGCATGGTGGCACAATTCGCTCTCACGGCATCCCCGTTCAGGCATCCCATCGCCAGCGCAGACGTCCCCTGCCTAGCCGCCGACGCAAACACTGCCGCCTGGAGCCGCTCGGCACTCCCTGCTGCCCCCTTGCCCCGACCCCTCCCCAGACGCGGGCGCCGCCCGCGTCCCACTCGCACAACTCCGCCGCGCCCGCGAGCTCCGGCGCGCCGCGCTCCTCCAGCGGGGGCGCCTCGCCCGAGTGCTGGACTGGCCACGGGCCCTGGGGGCCGCCGCTCTTGCGATGCCCGCGTGGCTGTCATCTTGGTCGTTGTCGTCGTCGTCGCCCTCGGAGGAAGAGGAGGAGGATGGGAAAAGGAGGATGAGGAGGAAGTGCGGGGAGAGGAGGAGGAGGAGGAGGAGGAGGAGGAGGAGGAGGAGGAGGAGGAGGTCGAGGATGAGGTCGATGATGAGGAGGAAGAGGATGAGGAGAAGGAGGAGGCGGAGGAGAAGGAGAGGGAGGAGAAGGGGGAATACGTTCTCGCAACTTTGACGATTCCCTCCGGAGGCGCCAGGCGCCCGGGCCGGAGACCTTCTTCCCCTCCACTGTACCTTCATCATCGTCCTCCTCTCCTCCTCCTCCTCCTCCTCCTCCTCCTCCTCCTCCTTCTCCCTTTTCCTATACCCTCCTTCTTCTTCCCTACTCCTCCTCTCTCTGCCTCCTGCTCCTCCTCTTTCCCTCCACCTGACCCTCGTTCACTCTTGATTTCCTTCGTCTTCCCCATCTTCGCCGTCTTCCCTGATCCCTCCCTCTTTGTCATCCCCCCACGTCATGAAACAGAACAAAGGCCTTGACCATCAAATGTAATCACCAGAGTGTTTGCCAGCGTGGACCCCCAACAATGAATCCTTGTACTCTCGATGTGAAACCTGTGTATGACAGCATGGGTTGATACCAACTCGGCTTGGATGGTAAAATAATCATTTGGAACATGAGCGGTAAGACAGGATCATACAATCGGACCTAGGTCGTCAGAACATCCCTCAAGAATATGAGACCCTCCGTCGTCCAAAACACACACACACACACACACACGGGAGATCCCAGGGTACCCTCCCCAGGATGCACAAGCACATCCAACAAACACGAAGAACACCAGGGTACCCTCCCCGAACCTACTTCGATCTTATAATTCGGTCCGACTGTATCCTGCAGTGTAGACCTCCCGAAGTCTGGGCTGGCAAGGGGCTCTCCCCCACGAGGGTCGGTGCGGTGATCGGGCCTATCAGGCACCCTGCCAAACGTTGCGAAGTCCAAGCAACTGTGGTTGATAAATCTGTCGTCCCCGAACACTTTCTGGCTCCCTGCACTGCAAGGTTGAAAACCAGACGGTCCCCAAATCTAGACACGGAACAGCCTCCAAACCAACGACAGCACCCTGGAATGTCGAATCGACAAAAAGAAGACCCACAGGACCCTCGGATGTCGAAAACTGAAAAGCACACTGGACTGTCGAAATCGCCAAACCCCCTTACCTTGAGCCCTGGGAGGGGAGCCAGAATTGTCTATGCCCACGGGGTACTGCTGCACATATCTGTACCAAGCTGGCCTGCCCAACCTGGCACCACGACCCCTCCCCTGGAGAGAGGATCCTACTGCCGAGAGCGCTTCCCAGGGTCTCAACTCCTAGGGCGCCTTGCCATCCTCAACCTATTTGCTAAACTCGTACGGTCGCTCGTGCTTTTACCCATCTGAATTTGCTCACAAATCGCAACAGGCACAATGACTCGCGGACATTGTTCACCCAGATCCATGACTCGCACGGGCGAGGGATGATGGTGACGATATCGGCGACGACGATGATGATGATGATGATGATGATGATGATGATGATGATGATGGTGATTGCGGTGGTGACGATAACGAGGACGACGACAACGATGACGACGATTACGACGGCGGTAGTGATGACGACAACTTTGCTTACGGAGATGATGGTGACGATGATAATGATGACATCGGCGGTGATGATGAGGAAGAGGAGGATGAAGAGGAGGAGGAGGAGGAGAAGCATGAGGACGATGATGGTACTGATGCGGAAGTCCGCGCGCAGAACATACGACAGTATGGCGATCGGGGAGCCACTGGGTGTTCATATGTTGTTGCACTCATCTACCCTGGCATGCTCACTTGTTTATTAAAAAAGGAAGAGCAACAAAACAACGGTTGTGCAATGCGTTCGGTATGCGCGCGCGCGGGGACGCGCGCGTGTGGCCCGTGTGGTAATGTTTGCCAGAGTTGGCGGTTGCGCGATGACTGCGTGATGGTCTCGCAGTTCGCGCGGATGGCCCGCATAGTCTCTGACTGCTTACCAGACCACCCCAACCCAACCCGAAGACCCGAATTTGACCCGAATTTCGGGTTGGGGGGGGTACGGTTTCCATGTGTTTTTGCAATGTTCCCCGACCCCCCCCCCCACTGGAAATGGAGGGAAATTTGAAGCCTTCGGGTTGGGTTGGGGTGGTTTGGTGGGTGGTGGGTCTCACGTGAGAAAACGGTAAAGCATCACATGATCATCTGCGACGTCGAAGCCGACCACGCCGAGGACAACGAGGCGCTGGCGCACGCCTCGAAACGGAGGTTGGCATGAAGCAAGCAGGATCCGAAGGAAACGGGTACGTATTGACCCCCCCCCCTAAACCTTTCCCCAACACATATTTTTATCCCTATCTGTTTCCTGATGGTCCCGGGGCCCAGGGAGGGCCCCGAGGGCCTAAAAACATTGACTCTTCCTCACCATCATCATCGCCATCGTCAATCACACATTCACACACTCACACACCCACGCACTCACACACTCATCATGATCATGATCCTGATCATGATCATTATCCTCAGGCCTGAATATAGAGAGGGTATCAGGCGGAAGCCTCGTCTATGAGTGAATTGCAAGGAAATCTCAGGCGGGAGCCTCGTCTGGGAGTGAATTGCGAGGAAGTCTCAGGCGGAATCCTCCTCCCTATGTGGGTCGCAGCTCATGTTTTTGATCTGAGGTGATCATCATCATCATCAAACCTGTATCTCTGCCAGTTTTTAGCTCCTCGTCACTTTTGGGCTCCTCAGGCCTGAATATGGAGGGAGTATCAGGCGGGAGCCTAGTCTGCAAGTGAATTGCGAGGACGTCTCAGGTGGGAGCCTCGTCTGGGAGTGAATCGCGAGGAAGTCTCAGGCGGGAGCCTCCTCCCTATGGGGCCCGCAGATCATGCTTTGAATCCGAGCGGATCATCCTCGAACCTGAAACTCTCGTCACTTTTGAGCTCCACTGGCCTGAATATGAAAGGAATCTCAGGCGGGAGCCTCGCCTGCGAGTGAACTGCCAGGAAGTCTCAGGCGGGAGCCTCGTCTGGGAGTGAATTGCGAGGAAATCTCAGGCGGGAGCCTCCTGCCTATGGGGCCCGCAGCTTAGGATTTGTCATCCGAGTGGGTCATCCTACAACGTGAAACTCTGGCACTTTTGGGCTATCCAGGCTTGAATATAAAGGGAGTATCAGGCGGGAGCCTCGTCTGTGTGAATTGCGAGGAAGTCTCAGGGGGGAGCCTCCTCCACATGGGGCCCGCAGCTCATGTTTTTAACTCGAGTGCGTCATCCTCAAACCTCTATCTCTAATCACTTTTGGGCTCCTCAGGCCTGAATATGGAGGGCGTGCCAGGCGGGAGCCTCGTCTGGGAGTGAACTGCGAGGAAGTCTCAAGTGGGAACTCCCTCCCTCAGGTCGCACAGGTGCCGAAGGTTTCACAGGTACCACCAGTCTCAAAGGTTGCACAGATCCCACAGGCCCAACACATGCTCCGCAAGTTGCACAGGCCCTATGGTGTTTTCGCCTCGCGCACAAGTCCTACATTTCTCGCAGGCGCCGCAAGTCCTACAAATACCACAGGTCCCACAGGTCCCACAGGTCCCACAAGCCCCGCAGGTCCCACGGGCCCCGCAGGTTGCAGGTCCCATGGGCCCCATATCTCGCACAGGTCCAACAGGCTCCTCAAGTTTCGGGGGATCCACTGGCTCCACATGTCCCACGGGCCCCGCAAGTTCCACAGGCCCCACACGGCCGGCAAGAGTCTCAAAGGTCCCACAGGGCTCGCACACCCTACAGGTCCCACGGGCCCCACAAGCCGCACAGGTCCAAGAAGCCCAACAGGTCGCACAACTCCCACGAGTCCCACAGGTCCAAGAGGTCGTATTCTGGCATCCTGGCATCATCCCCATCATTCAAAATCGATGATGCAGATTCCCATGCACACTGTACAGATTATCATGTGGGGTCCGTTCGTCGGCGCAATTTTCTTTTCGATCCATCGTTCAATACCAAAGAGGTCCCCAACAAGAATGCAGTCGCGATCCGCTACAACAAAAAGACAATGTGTGGTAACCCGCAACAAGAATTATCTAAGTGCAGACCGCTACAAAAAATGTCACCCGCAACAAAGAATCGTGTTGCACCCCCCCGCAGAAAAAAATCAACATGTTTCTGGCCACAACACGAATCAATACGTAAACTGCCACAGAAGAAACCAATTTGCATCAACAGCCAATTTGCAATCGGCCCCAACAATAATCAGTTCGTACTCAACCACAAAAGAAATCAACTTTCAATCGGCAACAAACAGAATCAACTTGTAAGCGGCCACAACAAATCCTTGTGTCATCCCACCTTAAAGGGAATCGTCGTGTAAGGTTGCCACAACAAGGGTCCTTTTCGCAAGGGCACCACGCAACGAATCTTTTGCAAAGGCCACATACGGAATCAATTCGCACTCCGCAACGCAAGGGATCGATGGGTAAACTGCGAAAGCAAAGAGATACGTGCAATCCGCCACAAAAACAAACCAAGTGTGATCCGTCACGAAGCAACCCCTATGTGGAATCCGCGACACAAGCAGTCATTCTACACACGCCACAAAAAAAACATCATATTGAAACCTGCCGCAAGAAGGATTAATGTGTGAACCTTCGCGAGAATAATCGTCTTGCGCTCCAGCACGAAAGGAATCCTCTTGGAATCCGCCGCTGCGTGAATCAAGTTGAGGGCGACCACAGAGGGAATCCATGTGTAACACGCCAGGCCAGTTATCAATGTGTAATCCACAAGGAAGGTACGGCGGCGAAGGGCGATGCAACCAGGAAGGAGAAGGGAGACGTTGTGAAGGGCTCCAGGGCTCTGGGACGCCGAGTGGAACGTCATGCGGGTGGAGGGGGGGGACATGGGAGACGGGGAAAGGATAAAAAGGAGGGAGTGCGGGGTGGATTAAAAGGGCGTCAACCACCGATCTATTTGTGAAGCCGCCACACGAGGAAAGCGTTTTGTAGGCCGCGACAAACAGAACCGCATTGTGAAACGCCGCGTAATGAATCAAGTCGAAAGGCCGCCACAGAGAGAGTAGATTTAGGAGACTGCCACGAAAAGATACATCATGGAATTGACCACAAGGGGAATCAATGCGTGCGACCGCCGCACATCACCTGTTTTGTGGAACACCATTGAACACATATTCGCAAGCCTGCCGCACACGGAAACTGATTGCAAACACACAACTGTATGGTAACGTCACCATACAAGAGGTCCTGGCAAGGCCACCGCAAGAGGACACCTTTATTTCACCCTTGCCACAATAAGGGCTCATGTGTAACGCTGGCTCCGAACACTAGTTTTGGGCCACCAGAAAAGAAGCTATATGTGGGCCGCTCGCTGCGCCCGCGTAGGTGCTTCATGCGGGCTGTCATGCCTTGTTCTGCCTGTATGTGGGCTACAACAAAAATAACTAATGTGCAAGGCCGCCACAAACAACATAGGTGTAGGTCCCCATAAAAGAGATCTAACAGTGGGCCACCGCGAAGGAATCCATTTGCAAGGCCGCCAAACTGAATCCTATTATAACCCTCCACACTCAGAGGCCAATTGAAACCCGCCGCAGAAGAAATCCTCTGCATTCTAAGACACTAGGGGTTACTTTTTCATCCTCTGACAACTGGGGATCCTCTGTGTATTCTGCGACAAATGGAATGCACCAGCAATCCTCACGGAAGAAACTCATGCTCAATAAGGGGGCCCTGTCGCAATCTGCCACACATGAAATCCTTGTACAACGCGCCACAAAAAAGAGATCAATAAGCAACTTAGCGCAACAGGAACGCTTTCGTATTCTGTGACAAAAATATTCAACTAACCTGGCACCATCCAAATTACGGTGTTGCCTCTGCGTTTGAACGCGTATGGGAGAGATCGTACCATCTGATCAACATCGCATGCTACGTCATAACTTTGCGTTTGAGATTGCAGAAACGCACCGTCAAATAGAACCATGTTTGGGGTCCGCAGGGGGAGGGAGGCTCGAAGGGAAAACTCGCTTGCGCGCCTTTTCGACCAAGCGCTGATTGAAATGGCGGCGAAGGGGGGGAGCCGTGCAATAAATAAAAGAATATTGCGTGGAGGGCCCGCGTGGCCATACCTTACGAGGTTATCATGATAACCTACGCTAGCTTCTAACACAAGGTGCACGGCTTCGGGACGATCGGGCCGGATTCCACGTTCGATAGAAAAGGAAAGCGGAGATACAGATCTGCCGACACTTGAGCAGGACCGACCGTCCTATCATTCCCATAGGCTTATCACGAAATATGTATATAACAAATTCATGTTCTGATAACAGCATCAATGTTCTTAGAACAACAAGCAGATTAATGAACACAAGACGAGCTCACTCTATGGGCGAGTCAAGACGCGTTGCCACTGCTTGAGACGCGCCACTGTCGTCCGATCCGGACCATGGACGACGACGAATCGCCGGCGCAGACCTCGAGGCCGCCGGCGCCGCCCACGGGCAGCCCTCGGATTTCCTTGGCGAGCGCGAAGGGGATCTCCTCGCGGCGCACGGCCGCGTCTCTTCCCTCCTCCATCCTCCTCCTTCATCCCCCATCCTTCTTCTAACCTTATCCTCCTCCTCCGCCGCCTCCTCCTCCTGCTCCTCTTCCGTCTAACCTCCCCCTCTCCTCCCTCCTCCTCCCTCCTCCTCCTCCTCCTCCTCCTCCTCCTCCTCCTCCTCCTCCTCCTCGTGCCCCCTCCCTCTCCAGCTCCTCCTCAACCTCTTCACCTCTTCCTCCATTTCCTTTTCCACCGTAGATCCCCCCTTCTCCTTCCTCTCCCCCCACCTCGTCGTCGTCGTCCTCCTCAACAGCAAATCCTCCTCCTCCTCCTCCTCCTGCGTTTCTGCGTGTTGCTTTCCTTTTTTGGGGGGAACGCAGAAAGCCTCCTGCGTTCTGCGTTCCTTTCTGCTCCTCCTCCTGCATTCTGCGTTCCTGTTCTACGTCCCTCTCCCTCCTCCTCCTCCTCCTCCTCCTCCTCCTGCTCCTGCTCTTGCTCCGCCTCCGCCTCCTCCTCCTCCTCCTCCTCCTCCTCCTCCTCCTCTCCCCCACCCTGCCTCCGATGGGCACACGCAGGCTTCGGCCCAGCATTTTGGGATCCAAATGATCGATGGTAAAGCCCTGCGAGAGTCGAAATCCTTCAGGGTCTCAAATCAATTTCGTGGCCGCCAAGATGCCAATATTCTTTCTGAGACGGCTCCAGAAGGGTTCCAACACGCCGGAGAGGCCTCAAGGACACCCAAGATAGCCTCCAGACGGCCCAAGATTCCAAAAGAGGGTCCCAAGAGGACCGCCAAGAAGGCCTCAAGATGCAAAACCATTGATTCCGCAGATTAGGTGTTGGCATAACATTCGCAATCTCGCCTTTTCGGGCGTCTGCGCACCCAAACCAACGCCGAGAAGCTTCCCCCAGACCGGCCCGGGACGGTCCAAGAGGCCCCCAAATAGGGTCCCACATGGTTTCAAAACGGCTCAAGAGACCCCCAATGCGGCAATAAATCCGTCAAGACGCCCCAGAGAGGGGGAACCAAAAGGGACCGCAGGAGCCCTCCCCCAGTATGTAGACCCCAATACCCCCCACATGACCCCAACAGGCCCTCAAGAAGCCCGCAACAGACACCGAGGAAGAGGAGGACGATTCAACAACACCTGCACACAGGCAACCAAACGGGAAGTGGCAAGCAACACGCATGGAATCGGAAGCCATACATGTCCCCTTCTGGGGGACGGCGGAATGGCGTACTCCTCTTGAGTACTCTCAATACTCTGCACGGGGGCGGGACATCCAATTGATGGATTACCCTGGAGCTTGTCGCAGGACTCTTGGGGCTTGTCGCAGGACTTGTCCTGAGGCCAGAGAGCCCCGCGACCAGCCAAGACGGTCCCAAGAGGCACTCAAGGCTGTCCAAGAGGCCCCCGAGACGACCGACGCGCGCTCCAAGACGGCCAAGATGGACTGACGACAGCCCGACAAGCACAAGACGGCTCGAAGCTCCCACGAGGGCCCCACAAGACAGAATCAGAGCAAGGGGCCCAACAGTCAGTAACTGTCCCTCGGCGCGTGGCTGAAGTAGGGTTCCGCGGTGCGGATTGCTGCCTTGTTGCATTGCTGTTGTCGTCGTCCTCGCCCGCGACCCGCCCGCGACCCACCCCGCGACCCACCGCGCGACCCGCCCACATTGCTTCTTCACGAAAAGTCTGCGCCTGCGGCGGGCTCGTCGCGCAATGTGTGGGAAAAATCGGCGCCTGCGGCGGGCTTCTTCAGAGCCTCGCAGAATGCCGACGACCCTGCCGCCCCCTCACCCTTATCCGCAATTGCGGGGTGCTACCTAACTGATCTCCCTTTGGTTGGGGACAGATTTCAACGTTCTCGCCTTTCTGGGCTTCCCGCGCACCAAGACGACCGAAACGGCCCCAAACATCGTCTCAACACGGCCCAAGAGGCTGGCAGGAAAGCACAAGGGGCCACCAAGCTGGCCAAAGCGATGCGCGAGAAGGCCCCAAGAGGGGGCCAGGAAGGAGAACCCAAATTGGCATGTCGAGACCCCCGCTCCAAGGCCCCAAGAGGACCGCCGAGACCGCCAGCAGGCCCCAAAGAAGGCCCCTGAGACGACCCCAAGACGCCCCCAAGAAGACCCCTGGCGCCCCAAAGAGGCCCCAAGAGGTGCCCAAACGGCTCCAGCAATGCCTCCCAGGGGCCCCCGGAGGTATCCCCAAGATACCACTCGATGCAGTCAAGAGGCCTCTGACCCACAATCCAGGCACGGTGGCGGGATGGGTCGCATGCCAGATGAGACAATGAATACCATTCCAAGCAAGGCAAGGCGAAAACACCGAGCCACCGCAATGATCGCCACCTCTGCCATCACCAGCATCACAATTAGCAGCGGGGTGTACGTAGGAATGGACAGATCTGTTGATGCATGTTGACACGTATATCCGAGGATAGATCCACGATGTTGATGACGAGACCCATAGCTACAGAGTAGACACTACATGAGACTCGAAGCAACATACCCATCGCAATGTATGTCCACGACTAACTCGATGACCACTACCATCGCCATCGCCATCAGCATCACCACAACCATCAATCACTTCACATAGATACAATGGCTAGGACGGCGGGGAAAGCATGTAGATCGGGAGCCCGATGCAAAGCCAATCACAGACCGAAAACTGCACCCTCCCCAAACCTCCTTATCGCCCGACATCTGATCTTACAGGTCGGAACACCCCTGAGACTCTGGATCGCGCAAGAGCAAGATAATATATCGTGCTGTTACTCTCTGGTGTCAGGGACGCGCCAGGCTGGATCAACCAAAGCCATGTCCCGAAATCGGGCTGGCAACGAACCAGCTTCCAAACCCAGGCCAGCGGATGACGGGGAGGGGGGGGCGGGATTGGCCCCGCATGGGTCCCAGCCCTGTGTCAGCCTGAAAGTATCAGAGGGCATTGGCGGCTGACCCCCCTTAGCGCCGAAACCAATTATGGAGTGCCCGAGCATGGTTTCTAGAGGCTGTAGGCAGGGCCCAAGGCGCAAGCTTGGACGACCATGGCGCATCTGGGGAGCCCTGGTCGAGGCGCAGCGGTTGGAGAAGATCCCTGCGCCAAAGAAAAACTCCAGCAACCATCCTCCAACGACCTTGACTGAAACACTTGGTCACACGGTCTCGAGTCTCCCAAAATACCGTCGTTTCAAAAACCTGGCAGACTCCAAACGGCATCTGGAAATCTTGCCCTCCAACCCCACTGCGCAGAATCTCAGCCGTGCGTGGCGACACTCCCTCTGGCTGCGACATTGCTGCCGTAGTCGTCCTGCTCGCAAGCACGCAAGATCTCCGCCAACTCCTGCAGTACTCTCTCTGCCGGCGGGGTAGACCCGGCCGAGATCGGAAACTCGGACGGAACGTCTGGATGATAGAGAGACCGTACACCGAGAACTTCTGATGCGGCTGCTCCTCCTCCCCTTCCCCTGCTGCTCCTCCTACTCCGTCTCCCTGCTCCCTCCTCCTGCGCCCTACATTCTTCCAACTTCATCCTTCGATCCACCCCTATCTTTCTCCTCCATCCTGCCTCCACTCCCCACTCATCGGAACTATCATTATCACTCCTGCTTCTGTATCCCGCCTCCCCCTTCCTTCATCATCCCGTAAGATTAACACAAGAGGACTGTTGTTGTTTTTATTGTGGAGGGGGGTCATTTGTTTTCATTCCCTCTCCTTCTTCACTCCTCCGACGTCCCTCTACTTCTCCCCTCCTCCTTCGTCCTCCTCCTCCTCTCCCGCTGCAATGGGAGAGGGTGATGAGGAGCAGGAGAGGGAAGGAGGTGGAGATGAGACGATAAGGGGACCATGATGGCAGTGCGGATGAGGAGGAAGAGGGGGATGGGAGATGAAAAAGCGGAGGAGCAAGCCCAAGTAGAATGCACCACTACTCCATGTGCACCAATCGGATTCGCTCTGCTAGAAGAGGTCAACGAACTCAAACAAGACAGTGGACTCAATCGGTTCACACCGACACGCGGAGACGGCCAGCTATCAGATCTTAGTTCTAAGCGTCTATACCAACGTCCCCGACGCCTTCCAGCCCCACGCCACGCACACCCAGCACTGTGTGGCCGAACAGGTTGCCGCTCTGCCACGACGAACAACAACCCTTGGCGACTGCAAAGACGGCTAACACAAGGGCACACACAGATTAAGCATACACTTTCGGAGGTTCGCGCGGATTTCTTGGATCGGCGCTGGATCTCCCTCCCTGGCGCGCGGAGCTCCACTAGGGGCGCCGCCAGAGGCGCCGCCAGGAGGGTCCAGCGCCGATCCAAGAAACCTGCGCGGACCTCCCAACACTTATACCGTATTCTTCGCCGCCGACCCGAGCGGCCAAATTGTCAACCACACGACACGAACCCGAAACCGAGATCGATTTCCCTGTATGGGGGGTCTCCGCTTCACGTCGGAATCACCCCCCCAACCTCCGATGGAGCGAGAGGGGGTCAACGCGAATGCAATATGCTCATTCTCTAGACCGCAGTGAGGATGGCGGCGCCGCCAGAGAGTCACATCCGTGGCGGGCATCGGGACACATGGTGAGCATCCTCTGCTGCGCGCTTGCCCGCGCCACGTGCGCACTTAGAGGCCTCCTAGATGGGGTCGGAGCAGATGGGGTCGGAGGATCGCGCCGCATCGCCGATACATCGGCGACGCATCGGTGATGTATCGGCGATGCACCAGCGATGCATCGTCGATGCGTCGGCGACGTCCGCGCGAAGAAAATCGGGCTCGGCATCGAGCCGCGTCGGCGATGCATCGGCGAGACATCGGGGATGTATCGGCGATGCGGCGCGATCCTCCGACCCCATCTGCTCGGACCCCCATCTGGGAGGCCTGGAGCGCTGCGACACAAAATCTGAGACAAGCGTCAACGGACGATCCATCCCCCTCTCGGACGCCCCCGATCTGATGCGTCGCCGACCCGATGCCACCGCAGCCCGCTGAGGCCGGCTCGCGGGGCAGGTCGGGCAGCCACGGCTGCGGCTCGAAGAAAGCGACGGAGGCGCCGGGCTGCCCGTTCCGGCCAGTGCGGCCCACCCGGTGCACGTAGGTCTACCCGCCCAGCCCGGCCCGGGGTGCGGCGGGGTGAGCCTTCAGGGGAGCCTCTGCCGACCCCCGCGGCCCTGTCACAAACGTGGTAGACCACTCGTCTTCATCTTGTCGTCCAAATTTCGTCCAGGTGATTTCGTCTCAATGTCGAACAAATGCAACGAAATCCGGACAAACTCCCCAAAACCGCAAGGGATTTCGGGATCCCCTGAGGCTCCCATGAAGGACCACGCAAATGCGGGGCGGAGGAGAAGATCGATCAACAACGAACGAGGAGATCGGATTGGATCGGACCGCGGGGCGGATCGGCCCGCATCGGCACGGAGTCGAAATCGAATCGGATCGGCTGCGCCAAGGTGCACAACAGGGCCATGTTAACATCCGCATCGGATCGCCCGAAAATCGGGATCGAATCGGATTTGGCAGGCTGGAATCGATACCGATTCTGATCGACCAGATTGCAGAGGAACCTGTGGGAAGAAATATGGTGGAGAAAGAGAGAACATCCGTCTAGAATGCGACGCGGGGATGTATCCACATCCGCCACCTGAGGAATCGATGTCTCGGGAAAGCCAGAACCAGGGGGCGGTTGAATGGAACGCATCGCGCGGTTAGCGCTTGCAAAACGAAAATAGCCAGGCGAGAGGCCAAACGTTTCGCAGCTTCATGTCACGTTGGTGATGAACATTCATGCGAGGCCCGCGTGAGAGATTCGTCGAATTGGATGGGGAGGCGTATGCAAACTTGTTTGTCCAATTGGGGCCGTAAATGCGTGGACCTTCCAATTGGGCGCGAAACGTGTAATTGTACGCCGACGTGCGCGGGGACACGCATGTAACATTTCACAGTGGGGGCCGCATGTGGGTTTCCAGTGAGGGGTGTGCCGAGACGGGCGGAAGTACGCATGCAAACTTTTTCCCACTGAGGATGTTCGTCGAGCTCCCACGTGAGGCCTGAGGCCGCGATCCGCGTAATGGGGTGCGCCAACATGGGCGGCGCCGCCATTCGGGCGGCTTCACTGGGGCCGCAAACGTGTGAGTGGTGTGCAAGGGCCGCGTCGGTCGAGGGGTCATGAGGGGAGGCCCCGCCAGAGCACAGCGCTCATTCAGGTGCCTCAGGGCCCCCTCCCGGGCCCTGGACGGCGTCGCGAGAGGGCGCCTCCGAACGAGTCATCTGGTCCACGCTGCCGATGAGATCCCGCGTGAACTCAACCAAACGCCCGCGGCCGCTGCGCGCGCGCGCCCCCGTCGAGCTGGAGACCGGGTGGAGGGCGCAGCGCGCCAGGCGGGCGGCGGCAGCGGCAGCGGCGACTACTTGCGGTCCGTTTCCGCGGCCGCGCCCCCTGTGCGTGCGGCGCCGCTGGGCCAGGGAGCTCACAAATCTGACCTTTCGAAAGAGGGGCTTCCTTGAGCGCGCGCGCGGCAGCCTGCTCCTCCCGACGTTTCCTCGCGTTCTTCTCCATTCCAGGGCTGCGCTCCCGCGCCTTGGCGACGCGTTCGAGCAGCCCTGGACGAACCATGCACGGCCCGCGCCCCTGGCCAATGAAGGCATGCACCTCCGCGAGCGGAAGCATGGCGTTGGGCTGCTGCTTGTCGGCGCGGCGCTCCCCCGAGTAGCACTGCATCGGCAGGGGCTTCCTAGGTGCGATCTCGACGCCCGCCAGGTCGTAGATGTCGAGCTGGCCCATCGCGCCAGGCGTTTCGACGACCCTGCCGAGCGTCTCATGCTTCAGCGCGCTGAAGTTTGCGTTCGCGAATCTTCGCCGCCGCCGCCGCCGCATCGCGGAGCGGAGGCCCGGGCCGCCGCCCTTCTGCCCCGCGACGCTTGACAGAGCCGGGCGCGGCCGTCCCAAAACCCGTCAAGGTCTCTCGGCGACCGCCGAGACCGGTGCGCTCGCGCCCGACGGCCGTCTGCAGGATGTGCTGTTTGAAGTGGCAAATCTCGCGGTCGGTCAGCGGCGCAGCGAAACGACCCTTGCGGCTGGGCAGCGACAAGAGCGCGCGGCGCCCCGCGCGATGGAGCATCGCTGGCAGCGCAGCTCCCGTCAGCGCGAGCTCGTTCCCGAAATGCATGGCGACGTCGGCGTCTGCGGCGGCCCGCCGCGTCCAGCCCGCGGGGGGTCGACCACCGCCGTCCGCGGCGATCGGCGGGGCGTCGGGCATGGTGGGGGCATCTGGCCCACCGCCAACCGACGCTGCCGCGGCCGCCGCGGCCGGGGCCGGCGCGGCCGCGGCCGGCGCCAAGGGCGCGGGCGGCGGGGCGGCGGCCGCAGCCACCAAGGCCCACGCGGGCGGCGTCGGGCCAGGCGCCGCGCCGCCGTCAGGAGGGGCGCCGGCCGCCGCTGGCACCGCGGCCGCGGGAAAAGCGGCGGCCGCTACCATCGCGCCCAACGGGGGCCAGGCGGGGCTGGCGCCGCGGGGCGCCCGTAAGCATCCTCCGCGGCCGCCCGCAACCGCTCTGTTTCCACCCGCGCCCTGGCCACCTGGGCGGCTCGATCGGCACCCGAAGCGGCGCGCCGCCGCTCGAGGCGCCCCGGGGGTAGGCAGCCACCGCGCGGCGCTGAAAGACACCCTCGCGATCTCCGTGCCCAGGGAGGCGGGGCGGGAGTCTTCCTCACGCCCGCGCTGGTCTGGCGCCGCGATGGACGCGACGCCCTTGTGAAAATTTGAGCGCGCCGAAGCCCGACGTCCGATGGCGAGCGTCTGGCGACGAACCGCTGGGCCATCGACTGAGCGCAGCGCGAATGCCCGCCCCTGGATCGTCGGCCGCCCCAGAAACGGCAGCCTTGCCGCGGCCATCGCACATTGACGCCCGTCGGCTCAGCAGCCGCGGGACAAACGCGGAACGACAGGGTCGAATCCGAGACGAAGGCGGCCACGTTGACGCTTTGGCTGCCGCCCAGCACCGCGGCAGGTTGGGGCGGCGCGGGTCGAGTTCCTGGGCGCGCAGGGCACGCGGGCACCGCAGGCGGGTCGGGGCAGCGAGGGCAGGCTGGGACCTCTGGGCGCCTGCCTGCCCGACAGCGCAGCTCCCGCGCAAATCGCGCCCCAGCTCCAGCCCGCGTGCGCCGCCGCAGTGGCGCCTGAGCGGTCGCATCTTTCAGCGCAATCTCCCAAGGGAAATGAATGCGGAGCCGCGGCAGTCTGGAAACAGTTGCACCACGGCAGCCCCGCACTTCTGCCGCGCAGCATTGGCTGGTCGAAGCGGGGGCCAATGGCGTGAATGAACGAATGAATGCACAGCGCGCCTTCCCCAAATAATGCGATATCAGCGAGGTGCCATTATCTGTGTTTGCAAGAACGGTGCTTGTCCAGCGGTCTGGCGGCTACGTTGCCGCCGTCGCGGCCCCGCCGCGGCGGTTTGCCAGCTGCAACCGTCGCCGCTTCGTCGCCGCCAACCGTCGGGGCTTGCGCGGCGATCTGCCTGCTGCACACCATGCAAAACGCCACAACGCGGTTTGTTTCACCAGTAGGCTGCGACGCGTGCTTTGCACCGCGTCAACTCTCTCTCTCTCTCTCTCTCTCTCTCTCTCTCTCTCTCCCCTGGAATAAGGAAAAAAACGCCCCCGCTCCCGGACGCATGCGTTGCTTCTTGCCGCATTGCAAATTACATATGATTCTCCCCCCCCCCCCCCCCCCTTGTCGCATTGCAAGCTGCATCCAGTTCTCCCCCGTCGTACAAACGGAATCTGAAATCGTACCATATCAGGAAAGTTGGTCTCCTACCCCACTACATCCTCTGCAAGACAACACTTTGCGCGCGCCCTCGTTCATCGCGAATCATGATCCCCACGTCCCCCATCGCAACGAAAAGACAACAAAACAATCGCGCGCGCGCGCCGTCGCGCGCGCATGCCGAAATCGCCCAACGGGCTGCGTTCGGTAATGTTTTCAAAAGAGAACGTTCCGAATAAATTATGGATGATACATATATATATATGTGTGTGTATATATATATTGACGTGGAAACGCACGTGGTTTCGCAGCGAGAGATTTTTCAAGCATAATAACAGTCTGCAGTCGCGTTCCCGCGGATTCTAAAAGGAGACGTCGGTGTTCAACGCGTTCATAAAACGCAACCAGAAGTCCCCTCGCGCGCGCGTGTCGGAATCGCCAGGGCGCCCCTGATCAAACAAATGCACAAAAGGGGCGGAGTGCACGCGCGCGTCTTCGCGCGCGCGTGCCAGAACCCTTCAACAGCCGGAATTTGCGCAAGGATTTCTAAACCGAGCATCCCGAAACACATGTAAAATACATGTGGCTGCGCAACAACAATTCTCATATGTGCCCGCGCTCGCGCTCGTGCGAAGTCTTGAGACAACCGTCTGTGTTTGTTTTTCTTCTTCTCCGAAATGCCACTGGATCTGCCAATCTAGCCCCCCGCGCGCATATCGAAATCACGCGAACGCATTTGCGCGTGCTGGGTGGGGGTGGGGGGCGATCCGCGTCAAACAACTGCGCCGCGCGGGCCACTCTCGCGCGTCGGCCGCGCGCGCGCGTCGAACTCATTCCAAAACCTGCATCGCCGACGCGGGGGCGCCGCCGTCGTCGTCGGCATTGTCGGCGTCGGCGCCGTCACTGGCTTTGTCGTCGTCGTTGTCGCCATCGTCGCCAACGTCGCTACTGCTGTCGTCGCATCTACCGTCGTCGACGTTGCCGCGACGCCGCGCGCGCGCGCCCGAATCGCCGACTCGCGCCGACATGCCCGCTGGGAAATGCCCGGCGGTCGGCGCCGCCGCGGCGGCGTCAATCGCGCCAGACTAGCCGGCCGCCCAGCGCGCGATCATGCGCGCCAGCGCGGCCGCGGCGATGCGCGAGCCAGCGCCGAGCAGTCATCGCAATCGCCGCCGCGTGAGTTTTGCGCGCCAACTTGCGGGTGGGTGGGCGGGGTGATTGCGCGAGCAATGGGATTGACAACTTCAAGTTCGGCAGCGGGGAATTCCCCTGTCCGAAGGAGCAGCGGGATCTGCCCCCCCCATCCGCCCCCTGGGAATTCACAGCCCC